TTTGTTTTTTTTTATATCAAAAATTTGTGCCAGGCGGAGATATATAGGGCCGCGCAGCAACCGTGAGTGCCGGCACACCCGCCCACCGCCGCCCACCGTGGGCAAAACCCTGAGGATATACTTATCAGTAAATACAGGAACATTTTCACAACAGCGATGTTAAATTTGACAACGGCGGTGTGCCACTGTGCCCTCTTATATATAATAAACCCTGTGCATGCAGCTGTGCATGCCAGTGCAAATTGAGACAATTTTGGTGCACGTGTTTTAGCGATGCTGAATGATCATTGAGCCAGGACGTATTACTTACGACACGCCTGGCTAATTTCCTCACGGACTAGAAGCACATCGAAATGCCACTACATGGCATATATATTCTTGCCGTACAAATTCCGTGTTTCAGTTTTTCTAGAAGGTGGATATGTAGAATGCAGGTGCATGTACAGGTAGCATCCACATAGCCGGAGCTCTCAAATACGTTATAGACGCTCGCTTGTTTCAAGCACCCTAACCATACAGCTCTTCACCTTGCAGTTGGACGCTGGACGCGAGAAGAAGAGCAGATGCTGCTTGCAGGCATCAAGGCTGTAGCGAGAACAGACGACCTGTTGACCACAGAGACCAAGAACCTCTCGTGGCATCGGGTTGCAACACACGTTCCAGGCCGCACGGATGTACAGTGTTTTGCCCGATGGTAATAAGAAACCACATACTCATTAGATAAGATAAAGTGGCATGAAAAAACGTGTGCACATAAGCGAGGGAGGTGCCTAGTGCCGGCCGTTGATACGATGAGAATGACAGTAAGAGTGAGATAGTGTACGTAAGACAGTGGGAAACGCACTTGCTGGCAGATGACAAGTAGTCGTCATGTAAGCATTGTAAGGTTTTATATCGAGGGTAGCCACTACTCATACAGTGCTTTAAAAATATGACAGTTCGAATTCTAATACGAATAGGTGGTTTTATCACTTCTCACCAGGTGGGCTGTAACATGTGAACATCTGAACCCATACAAGGTTACTCATGACACGTACTTGAGCAAGTGAGACAATTAACATTAGCTAGTGAAAAATATGACGGAATGAGACGATCAGGCAACGACAAATGGACGATGGTGAGAGACAGTAAATGGCAGACAATGGGAAACAGAGCAAAGAAGAGTTGACAACAATTGATCCTCTTGGGCAGTCACTCACTGTACATGCCTTATGTTTTAGGGAAGACTCGTTGCATAGCAAAGTGTACGACACACGATTTAAAGTGGGGAAATACTCCTTGGCCCGCAAAAAACAACATCTCCAGATGCTTGAACGGTGAGTGTGTACCCAGCCCCAGGGCCTAATCCAAGCCATTTTTCGCACCAAATACCGGCGCCCAAATTACGACCCCTAGCAAACCGCCCAAATTAGCAGAGCTCTGAAAATTGTGAAAATTAAATCTCCATGTTTCTATCATTATGTAGGCACTGTTTTATAATAAAATGCTCATATAAGATCTATAATCTATTATCTAAATAAAGTTATAATGTTATTATACATCTACGGGCTCGCCAGCGTTCCCCAAATCTTTTTGGCCACGCTACGCTCGCTATGCGTACCCATAATAAGCAGCTAGATTAGCCCCGGAGTCCCCTCTGCAGTCTTTTGTTAATGATAATCACTTCTTCCATTTTACCAAAGCGCTATCAAACCAGTTACAGTCAGAGTTGGCGATCAAGTGATTCACGCTGGGATTGTTCTTCTTACATTTCATATGCTTTAGGTGGTGGTTATATTTGTATTTCAGGATAGTCGAACTAAAGCCCCAGTCATTGTGTGATATCAATTGGGCAGAGCTGGCCCTTCAGTTTGATGTGTAAGTAGCAATTAAATAGATGACTGCACATTCATAACGATCACCACGCTTGAAGTGAATTCGTTACCAACGGTAACCACAACTCGCAACTACAGTGTAACTAGAGTAATGCTACGATTTTAGATGAAAACAAAAATTTCTAACCAAGTTAACGTTAAATTAACTTTGTTTTGTAGTGCAACAAATGCACGGATACTTCGAAGTCAATTTCACAGGACGAAAAATCGGATGGTGAACCCGAAAAAGAAGTCATTTGAAGGTATAATTAACATTGTATAACATACCTCGCTACCATTCAACCATTCCTCATTGAGCCACTTGTCACATAATATATAGAAACTATCATCAACAGTGTACCAGATAATCCAACTGTAATATATTAAAGAGAATGTAGAGTAAATCCAGCGTCTATAGGGACAGATTACATCATACCTGACTGGCTCTCAATATATTTGATTAAGTGTACGTGACAATGCACTATGCAGACGGTAATGTGGCCAATTTGTGTATGTGTAACTGCTAGGTATGTGTGATTCTAAGTGAGTGAGCATCGAGTCTTCATTATTCCTGATGCTACAAGCAAGGAGGCAGTCTGATTAAAAATTCTTACTTCGTTTGCAGATGTCATGGGTTTCATCAAAACCATTTTCATTCCCAAACTCAAGACTGAAATCGAGGTCAAGCTAGCCAAAAAATAATGCTGGATAATGCCTTAGCCACTTACCACATATACTATCTATAACTAGTAATGTCTATTGCCAATGTGACCTTTATGCAGCAGGTGCATGTACGTTGATTTTATTTGTACACCAACATACATAATTTGAATCTAATATACTGTCTATAGTTAGTAATGTCTATTGCCATGTGACCTTTATGCAGCAGGTGCCTGCCGTAACCCGGTATTTAATTTGTACACCAACATACGTAATTTGAATCTAATAAAGAAAGATATAATGTAAGACGTATATATACAGGTTTATATAATTTTATTTGATGATTATATATTCACTGACATGACTACGGGTGTTTAAACAACAAATTAGCCTTCACTGCATTCACACTTCTAAACTTATACCATATTACCCCTAGATACCTACCCCGGTAAGATTTTAGCCCTTGTCCAATTGATTGCAATCTATGTACTTGGCGCCACAACGACCATATCTATAAAACATCTTGCTTAGATATGATGTGGTGCCACCTATTCGGATGTCTCCATAGGGGACAGCCCTAAGAGAAGGTCATCCATGCCGTCATCTCCCCAGGCTTTCCTCTACTGTCTGTGTGACCGCTCCGCTGGGCAGGCATTCGCCCTGGTTCATCGTCCCTGTCGACCGTAAGGACGGGCGCGGCTGCTTGAGCGACGCGCCTGTCGATTCTTTTTCCGGGTGGAGTATACGCTGACTCAGCTCAAAGTACTGGTTCGGGTGGTCGATGGCCACCATGTCGTCCGGCGGTTGGTCGTGAACAGCCGCGAAACAACGGCTGCACGCCAGCTGATAGTGGTTCCCCTTCACCTGCGGAGAACAACGAGGCAAGCTGTCAACACCAGCGTCCTCCTTCCCAGTGCCCCTGCCTTCCGTTCTCGCTCGGTCTCGTCGTGGGGATAGGTGAACGACCCCGGAGCGAGAGCCGAACGGCTGGATTCGCGAACGTTTTCCGATGCATCTTCATTTATAATTTGATAAATAGATACTAGTAAATTTTTTAACAACTTCCCATTTCTTCAGCTGGCCAAACTCGTCTGCGTTTTCCTGTCTCACACTGTCACACACTCCCTCTCTTTCTCTGTCTCTCACTCTCTCTATCTCTCTTCTCCCTCCTCGGTCTCTCTGTCTCCCTCTCGCTATCTTCACAACCCACACCACTACTCCTCCCTCGGCTACCCCCAGTGCGAACGCGAGCGCAAAACACGTACCATCTCCATGACACTGTCTGCCTGCGTGCTGCTGATCTTCATGCCCTTGAGACGTTGCGCGAGAAGGTCGGGCGCGGTGAAGCGGAACGGGCAGCCGTGGTGGTCGCCTGCCGCCGGCGGCGCCCCCATGATCAGCTTCATGCAGCTGTAGGGCGTGTAGTCCTTGCGGCGGCCCTCCTTGCCGTAGTTGTAGCGGATCGAGTACGCGTACTGCCGCTCGAACTTCTCGAGCTCGATGAGCTTTGTGAACTCGGAGCGCCAGAACCGCATCGACTCGTCAAGCGAGAGGCCGACGCCCTTGAGGAACAGACCGTACTGGAGGCGGCCGTTGTACTTTAGGTGGTGGTCGGTGCGCACGGCGCGGTTCAGCTGCTGCATGCACGGCGGGAACGACTCCTGGCAGAGCTGAAACACGCGACATGTCGCAACGTTCAGCGCACACGCTGACACAGAGAGGGCAAGACAATCGTACTACCTCGTCCCTTGTTAGAGGCGCTTGCGCGTGTCTGTAAACTGCCGGTCATGCACACAAGAACCGCAATACAGCAATAGGAGATAAGATAATAACATGGAAAATAAGATGAATGAAGCAACGAGATAAAATAGATCTATACTGAAAAAAAAATCAAGGTAAGGATTGAAGGTTAAACGCAAATAAAGATAAAGCGATCGGTGATTTCTGCGAAGACTACCGCGCAGCGGCGCCACTCACCCCGTCGACCATGTTGGCCGTGACCTCGCCGCTGGCCTTCGTCTTGCGGCTGCCGTAGTCCTCGCCGAGGTACCACTCGTTGATGTGGTTGAGCATCGGCAGCAGCCGCTCCTGCTCTTCGATGATGGGAAACATGCGCGCGGTGCGTGCGAGAGCCTTCGACAGCTCGAGCCGGAAGCAGGCGCAGACGAGCGAGACGAGCTCCGAGCTGGGAATGTAAGCGTAGCCGTGGCGCAGGTACACCTGCCGTAAGAAGAATGCTTATTAACGAGTGATGCAGGTACACCTGCCGTAAGAAGAACGCTTATTAACGAGTGATGCAGGTACACCTGCCGTAAGAAGAACGCTTATTAACGAGTGACGCAGGTACACCTGCCGTAAGAAGAACGCTTATTAACGAGTGACGCAGGTACACCTGCCGTAAGAAGAACGCTTATTAACGAGTGACGCAAGTACACCTGCCGTAAGAAGCTGGATGGGCTGCCTTCTTGACTGAGGACAAGCCACTCATACACCCTTATGTTCACTTCACAGCACACAACCTGGACGTTTTGACCACTGCTTACCCACGACAGAATCGCCACACGCTCGTGCATTTATCTGGTCACTTCACACCTTCACTGCCCACTGCCTGTACATCTCAACTATCACTATCAGATGACAAATTCACTGCACGCTTTCGCACCTTTCTGCCTCGAACCAGGTCCAGCGCCTCGGTGAAAGGTACTCTGTAGAAATCGCTGGAGTCGAAGAGGCCGTCGCCCATGTCAAAGGTCGCGCCAATCAGTCGCCGTCTGAGCTTCGCCTTCTCCTCCTGGCTTATGGCCGCGTACGCCAAGTCGTTCTGCTCCAGGAACTCTTTGATGCTGACGGCACTTTCCTGCGGAACAATAATCGAACTAATCAATATCACTAGTACGGCGAGAACCGCAGCGATGGCTCAATGGTAGAGTGCTCGCCTCGCATGTGGAAGATCGGGGATTCAACTCCCGGCCGGGTAATACCAAAGACTTGAAAAATGGTACGCACGGCTTCTCTGCTTAGCATTCAGCAAATAGAGATAGAGTGTGGCAAGTTAACTCGCAGTGCTATACCAGTGGACCAAACCCCTGCTGTAGCATTTACTGTGAAAGCAGCTGCGGGGTCTCAGGGTTATAGGGTTACCGAAACGGAGATAGGGACCGCCCTATGCGCCACATAGGCGTAGGAAGGATTTAACTTAACTTAACTAGTACTGCGATTTTGTTACAGTTGCTCACCTGTTATTTTAGTCACACAGTCACTGACATAATTATACTGTACCCTACGTTACATCCAAGTCTGTTGTTAGTGTACTCCTTCCTGACTACTATATTAGAAAAGAAACTAGGGTCATGTCTCCATTACTGCCAATCCTGAGCAAGCCTCCTAGAGGGCTCCCCAGCTGTTTGCAGGCCTTCTTCATTTTTGCCTTCACTTCTTCCTTGGGTAGTGTATTGTAATGTTTCTACTCTCCACCGGGACAGAACGCTTACTTGTAGGAAACGAAAGCGGAATAAGTCGACCTCTTGCTGAATGAACCATCGACGCAGCTCCTCAGACTTGCAGTAGGCGAGTCGTAGTATGAAGTGGGAAATGTTGTCCCTCCTACGCTCCTCGTGGGACGCATCTACATCTGCATCGTTTTCCTCCTGACCCATCTGAACAACAGATCACGTTGATGATTATTATGAATTGTACGTGCATCACCGCACATCAACAATTAACCTGTCTCATACAAATATAACAATCGAATGATTTAACAACATAAAAATTAAATTATTTGGCAAAAAACAGGGGGATTAAATAGTGGTTTTGATAATTGATCTCCATCGTATGTTATGGCTTACGGTTCTCAAAAATGTTTTCAACCCCATCTTCCTGAGCTCAGTCCTTATTTTGTTCTTGTATTCTTCACTGCCTCTAGTAAAAACTAGTGATACGTTCTCAAAGAGTTTCAAAGCCTTTAGTCTGAAAAATTAAGTTACCAAATTATAATTAATCTGTCTGTTTTAAAGGATATTAGCTACATGTTCTCATTTGCAAATTTGCAATAACGACCATGTACACCTGCTACTGTGTAAGCAAAACACGTGATTATATATAAGGAAGTATGCACAAAGTCGTGACTCATTCAGTGTTATCTCATGACTCTTTTTTGCCAATTATCATAGACAGGTAAATGTTCATCCTGTATACTCTAATATGTTATTTTTATAATTATTTTTTAAATTATGTCAACAATATATTGGACAATGAAAACAGACTGAATTTGTAGTTACCTCTCAACAGCGAACCGTTCGAATTCCTGTAGTGATATGTTGCCGAGAGGGGGTATCCGGTAAAACTGCAGTGTGTGACTGTGAGGATGCTGGCTACTCTGTCCATCTCCTGATACCTTCTGGACCTTCCTGACTCGTTTCTTTCCCCCTCCGATCAGCATGCTGTAGATTTCTTTAGAACTTCTGCAATGTTATATTGACAGAGACATTGGTTCCTATAGTTAACACAGATATCCAATGATGCTATCACATATGTTTGCGTGCTTGAGGCTGCACGAGTTTAAAATGGTGAATTAATGTGCAAGCATTGATATTTACATAAGAAACCTCTTAAAATGTAAAGGTATAAAATGTTATTACTATTAGATATTTCCAGTGACACACAAGATAAGCTAATTATAAGTTAATTATCTGATAACACCTAAATTAAACCCATAATTATTAATGTGAAAGCGTTACCATTTTAACCAGTTCAACCTCTTCAGCATCCTACCACGCAGCAAGAGCTACAGTCATGTTTTGATCCATAAAGTGTGAGTGTCAGAACAAGAGGAAGTGTGACTCAGGGGTCGAAATTCGCTATATAGTGATTGCGCAACACAAGTGTTTTTCCCCAAATGCAAGCGATGTTTCGTAGCAACTTGCGGCTGCCGCAAGTCAACAATATGCCAGCTACTTACGTATTTAGAAGTCAGACCCATTTTATTTTGATTTCTGTACGAAATTGAAGCGTAAATGACTCTGAATCAGAGCAGGAAGACACAAAAGACAGAATAAATCATAAACTAAAACAGGGAGGAAGGGAAGGGGTACTGCCCGTTTGGAGAGCAACAGAGGTAGATGCAAGTAAAAATCTCTTGGCACAAGTAATTGTTTAATGGCGCAAGTGTTTATTTTTTTTGCGAATTTTGACCCCTGTGACTGTGTCACACAAGGATGCTGCTGATAGGGAGATCACGCAGCGCAATCTCGAGATTGCCGCGGTCTTCCGATCGGAGATCGTGATGCGCGATCTTAAGAATGCACAGCGCGACCTTGAAACAGGTACCTTTGTTGGCAATGCAGTGTATGTGTTAGCCCGACCAGGCTGTACGACGGATTGTCTATACATGTATTGTAATGGTATACTAACTATACATCGGTATACTAACGGTATACTAACTATACATGTATTTCTGACGGTATTGTAACCCTAGCAATACCGTTTCTTAGAGCTATATGTATCGTTAGTGTTACTGTTAGTGTCATTAACTATATACAGCCTCCTAGATACAATAATGTAACCCAAACCCAAGAGGATAGGGGTCCCTATCCTACCCCTATCCTACCCCTATCCTCTTGGGTTTGGGTTACATTATTGTATCTAACAGCCTCCTAACTCTGCGACTGCCAGATATAATAATTTAATACAACAGAGTGTAACTTGTAAAGTTAACCTACTCTGTTTGATTACATTTCTTAACATTAATTCATTAATTGGTAGGTAGGGCCTAGACTATGGCTTCAACCTATGGCTATGAGTATGACTATATGTCAGTGTCACTTGACGCTGCGTACCATGGACTCCGACTGCCACTGCACTGACACTGTTAAGACTGTTAGTGCTGTTGTTAGTGCCCGTGTCACTTATACTACTGACTACTCACTATCAAAGACGATATGTGTTTCAAAAGATGTAAAGCACACCATATAAATTATGAAAGTACATAGAAAACTGCTCATCAAGACACAGCAACGAAAAGTTCATCAACATTAAAAACTTCGCGCCAAATTTTTCTCTGTAGCGCCATCTGACGTATAGTTAGGCGATGTTTTGACTGCTTAGTCAAATTCTTCTGTGAAGTAAATCATTTGTTTATTTAAATCCCGTACGCATTTTTCTTGTATATTGCGCTCAGTTACAGTATAGTTTAAGTTATGTATATTTATTTATTTATTTTTACTACAGTTTATCACAGTACCTATTATCTCCTGCTATTATATAGGTAGCACGCATTACCAAGTAATGTTGTCGTCTACGCAAAAACCGTATCGCGTGATTTACGCAAGCCAGGGCCCAGGGCGGGTACTGTTAACTGCTTGTCCGCATCTCATTGTTAAAAAAAGGCTCTTGGATATAATTCCTATGCTAGGTCACTACGACAAATATTTGCTCTTTATCTTTAAAGCCAAATGTTGTTTTATTTTAGAGATACTGGATATGCGCGAAGAGAAGTCTCCCGCGATGTTGCAGATAAATTTGGCATGACCGGGTACTTTGTGATTCTTAAAATCACAGACACTTGGAGCGTTTCCATAAAATATAATGCTAAATAAATACGAAATCTATTTACTACCAAAGTCTTAATGTTTCTATACTCGCTTTCATCTATTATTGCCGACAATTTCCTGCAAATGCCGTCCAAATGCT